AAACAGTACAGCTCTCAATGGGATATCTAATCAACTGTAAACTTGGCTGCATTAATTACTTTTTAAATAGCTTCAGTTTCTTTGTAGCATCTGATGTAGGCTTTCATGCAGCACAGAATTACAGTGAACTGTTGGCTTAAAGATCTCTGAAACAGAGAAATCCTCTTGTTAAAAGACATTTCAGAATTTAAAATTTGCTTCTCCATAACTGTAATGATCAGAACGTAGACGCTAATTATGGTGTGCCCTAGAAAGCAATTATCAAAGAAGACAGGGTCCTGCATAAAGAATGACACAGGTGATCATGTAACACTTTTGCCTCCAAACTGCCACTAGCAGACCAAAGAAATCACATACAGAGCCATTTCTGTTTTCTGCAACAGATAAGAGTGTGCTCTTGACCATTTCAGGTAATTAAACATCTTACAGCAGTTTTCTTCCTGCTTTTGATGTTACTGGGATAGCCTGCCACCTCTGCTCTATTGAAAGGTCATCAAGCCTTCAGAACTACCTTGGTGCTCACATATCCATGAGCTGTTCATGCAATATCTGGACCCCAGCTGTTGTTTTATACACTTATCTTCACAATGCCCTTTCAAGTAAGGGAAGTAGAACTCCTGTGAATGCAGAGGGAAGTGAATGTCACTGATGAAAATCTTGCTGTGCTCCACAGAAGGGTTAGGAAGTGAAGCTCCTCTGGAGTTTTACCCTTACATTTCCACCTGCGACAGCTGTACCTCAGCAGTACTGATGACAAATGCTTGAACTCAACTACAGACACCCAAGTCTTTTGTAGAGAAACACTACTGAAATAAGTTTCATGAACTGACTACTAAAAATGTGTGAATCTACTCGAGACTATGACTAATTTAAGAAAAAAACAGAGGATTTTCTTCTACAGAGATAAGAATGCATGAGGGCAAAACCCAGAAGATAATTTTGCTGTATACCAACTTGCTTCCCATTACAGGAAATGCTTGCCATATTTAGAGGGTTTTTTTTCTTATTTAAAAAAAAAATTCCACAATTTGCATCTGAATAATATGAGAAGACATTACTAAACAATTATTTTCCATCCTTTCTCCAAACTAAGTTATTGTATGTTGAAATATTGCATGTTTTTACCTTTATATTCAATAAAAAAATTAATTTTCACAGAAATGTTGATATCAACAAATGGGTGTATTTACACAAAATAAATAAATAAATACATAAATTTAAACGCACATAGGGTTGGAATTGTGGACCTTTTGGCCCTAGAAGTCTTGGCCTACGTTACCCTGTGAGCCTCAAGGTGCCTAGAAGAGCAGCAGCCCCAGACCTACACAGAGATGGAACCATTTCCCTCCTTGCAGGGAGGCAGAACACAGTGACAGATCAACTGGGCCCTCCTAAGCCAGCCAAGAAGATAAAAATGAGAATGGGGTTTGCCCCCCTTTTCAACTTCAACTACTCTTGCAATTACCTGCAAGCTTAAAAACACTTGTGTTTCTGCTGGTAAAGAAAAAAGCTATAAATAATGCATTTTATCTAGTTTCTACGTTTTAATTTCTTCTCGGGTAGTAAATAAAATGAGACTGTAACAAAGTATGTAAAGCTAATTCTAGCCAAGTCCACTTTAATATACAGCTTCAACTGCAGAGGGCAGCAAACAAAAAGAAACTGAGCACTAAACTCCAAATTCCCTGCTGCTGGCAGTTCTGGAGAGGACTTGCATTCCCTGTTCTACCAAGATCAATATACAGGCAATTGATTTTGCTGGGCTTTTGGATTCAGTATTGCTGACAGAGCTTTTTCTATTATCTCACCTTCTAAGAGACTCACAATGAATGAATCATTTTGACTTAAAAGCTGCACTTGGCTTAGTCTCACAAAGTATCTTCCAAACTACTGGAAGAGAAAGTAAAACCAATAAAGGAAAATCCGTTTTTATTACTTGCCAGTCAAATAATGTTCCTACAATCTAACCTTCATCTAGCAATTTAGTAACAATTTGATTATTCATTGAAAATATACTACTGAAGACCATTAAGTAACTTCACTCCTTTTGCACCAGGTGGTCAACACAGATGTTCAAGTATGGAACACGGACAATGAAAAAAATTACATCTGTAGTATTACACATAGCTTTGCCTGTTCTTGCCTTGATACACAATAGACATCCACAGGTAATAATCAAAACTGTGCATTTAAACTCACGAGTTAAACGGCTCTTACTTGTAGATCAGTATTTTGCATTTGCAATTTCAGACACCAAACTGAAGCCTGTCTGGAATAGTGGGCCGAAATGCCTGTTGTAAATTTGGCTTTAGCATTTTATTATCTCTAAAGAATTTCCTTTTGCATTTTTTTCTTTTTTTTTTTTTTTTTAATTTCATTATGAGAAGAAGTATTTTATAATGCCATATTAAGCATACCAAGTGTTATATTCAGATAACCAGATTGAGATGTCAAAAGCAACCAAATGTGCATGCTCTAAAGAAAATTTCCAATTTCTCACTTCACTAAAAACCAAACCAAACAAAAAACAACAGATGTACATCATGGAACAAGTCTAGTCTATTTCTGGTATTTGACAAAACAGTAATTTAGAAAAATTGATTCTAATAATGAATTCCTCTTGCATATAAACTCAGTAGAAAATTCGTATGTTGAACAGAGATTAAAAAATCTAGAACTAAAATTTAACCTCACAGTTTTATTTGATGAGCACATGTATACTTTTATGCTTAGAGTTAAATAACTAATGAAAGCAGAAGTATTGTGTGTACCAATTTTATGAGGTCTTTTCTTACAGTAACACTGAGATTTTTCCTTACATACTCTACTGCAGAAATAGATATATGTATATGTATGGAGGAATTGCTTCTCATATATACAAGGTAGAAACTAGTAAATAATAAAATTTAATTTCATTTACACGTGAATAAGATTAAGTTGTTACATTGTCATTTACTAATTAATGGGAAGTAAACATCCATTTTAGGAAACAAGTCTACCGTTTTTATGATATTGGAAAAAAAGAGGAATATTTAGTTTAATTACAGACACTGGAGATGGAAACATACATCAAAGCAACTTATGTACCACCCTATCAGTGGCTTCTTGAAACAGCAAAGAGGAGCTGTATCAGCATGTCTTGTAAGATTATTTAATGCCTTACTATCACAAACCTTTACTGCAATCTCAAAGTACTAATCCCAAGCCTCTCCTTTATGCTGATGTTTCCTCTTACAAATTCGAATCATGGAAGAATACACACTAATCTCCTGTTTCACGGAAGTGGCTACTACACAATACAGCACTTAGAAACCACACTCATCCTTCTGCATCCATAACAATTAGTGATCCCTAACCAATCTATCAATTTAATGTTTGTTACTAGGTCAATGTTTTAGTTTATTATTTCACACATTGTTTTGATTAATGCATATTTTCTTTTCATCAGTGAGGATCTGTTGCATAGTATTTCCCACTAAATGTTAGCTTCACACTGAATCTCAATTTCTTTTGTTCTTGCCATGTTCTCATCTCTCCATTAGTCACAACTGATTCCAATCTGCTACCTACATCAATAAAGGGAATGCTAATCTGTCAAATTTGACTTGTCAGACTTGACAGATTATAATACAAGATAGCTGTAAATATTTAATATTTTTAACAGATTACTTTGCCATCAAAACTACAATCCTGTAGACATGGAAATTACTTAATTAAAAAAAACGGGGATTTGTAGTGTTAGAAAAACTCCCTTTGACTTCATTGATTTTGACAAAACTAATAAAGTATGACTTTCTATTTCAGACACTATAAATGTCCGTATTTTGCAATATTAACTTACTGCACTTATTTTATATTCCACATTTTTAAAATTCTTTCCTTCAGGAGCATCAAGACAATTTTTCAGACATTAGAAATCAAACCTTTTGAGATTATCAAGGTGGAAGATTTAATTCATGCAGTACTGACACATTTGAGAATTGGAGTTTTCATTTGAATTTGGAACCAATGCATTATTTTCAGATGTCAGCTTTTCCTATGCACAATGAAAAGAGCTTTTGACCTGCTTTGCTGATCACCCTTTAACATTTTTGTTTTACTTTTTATATCCCATTCAATGAATACAAGGGAAGGAAATACTTCAGTGAAACAAATTAATTTTCTGTTAGTAACATGGTCCAAAGGAAGTATCTTAATTAAATAAAACAAAATGGCGTCTTTATCAACAGTAGACATTCCAGATTGATGTAACTGTGATAGCTCCCTATTTTTTTAAACTACGTTACATTAGTGTCAGCAAAACTTTCATCTTATAATAATTTCCAATTTTTTACAGCCCTGAATCATTCATAAACAAAAAATCTCTCAATTCTGTACATGAATGTACTTTCCTCAGCTTAAAAAATGTCTTATACAATGAGATGATTCCTTGTATGTACATCAGCTAAGGCTAAACTTTTAGTCTAAGCTTCAAGATGGCAAAGTATGACCTTACCCTTGATGGATATTGCTTGCTAAGTAACATGACTACAACATGACTAAAGCTTTTCTGCATGAAAATATTTTCATGACCAAACAAAGCTCAAAATTCCATCTCTTGATTCAGATTAGAAAAAGTAAAATGCATAAGCAAGTGGAAAAAAGATTCAGGATCAGTCAGCAAACCTAATTTTCTTGTTATTTCATTAGTTTGCTAGAACTGAAAAAATGTAGCTCTGACAATATTCATCAGCACTGCAATAGGAATTATTTTTGTTCACATTACATTAGTGAAAAATGTAAAAAACTCTTGGACACACCAGAAGATGTAAGTTAAGCAAGTAAGCCAAACTCAATTTTTCCATACAACCATCAGATAAGAGCAAAGACAAATTGCTGCAAAATTGTATTTGAAAAAGGATCTTCAATATTCCTCCAAACAGAAATTATTAATAGTAAATAAAAAGATAACCTCTTACCAAATCTCTTACTGTATTACCCATTTCATTTGTGTGTCTTACCGGTCTTTCATGTTCAAGAATTGATGACTTTCCCGGCTCATATTCAAAAATACTTCTTGGTTCAGAACGGAACTTGCGAGTATCTACCTTTCTGTCAGGAGGATCCCAGTCATTCCTAAACAACAAATACAAGCAACTGAGCTAATTTTCTGTCACCACCTTGTGCTACAACAGAAACCTGCAAAGCCAGATGACGTTCAGAACAGCTTATATTTCCAGATCTCAGCTGCGGAACATCTAGCCTGGCATCCCAGTGTTTTACTGTAACATCTTAACCTGTTTACAGCAGGGATGCTCAGTACAGCAGGAAGAACACTAGAGACTTCCAGCCTGTGATCACTCATATTTGTCTTTTAACAACCAGACCCATTAAAAACTACCCTGGCATACCCACGCCAAAAAACATAAAAACCATTGCAAATAACTATACATGTTTTGCACACTCTACTAATATAGGCAAGTGGTAGATATTTTTGTCAACTTATATTACGATGATAAGGCAATATTGAAAAAGTTATAAAATTTTCTGAGGCAAATAATGAGGAATTATTTTAAAAGACAGTGTTATGGTCATTATCCTCATCTGTAGTAGAATTGCTTCTGAATATCCTTGTAAGCAGCATATTGTTTCTCTGTCTTGAACAGATAAACAAGAGGAAGAATTTGGCAGTTGAATTTGGAGTAGAAATGTATCAATTTTCTCTAAAATTACAAATTTGCTATCAATTTAATAATGCTATGCAAATAATTAAAAGTAACCCATGCTACTATATTTTTTCAGTCGTTTACTATGTCATATTACTAGCTACATATACATTTTGGGGGAATACTTAGCTAGCTACAGTGAGAGTTACTTTGCATGGCAGCTCTTGTAGTACCTACCTTCATTGTACTTGTAAAACTGTGGGTCACACATATTTTTATTTAACTCTGTGTAAAATGACCCACTGGTAACTCAAAGGTTGGAGGAAAGGGGAGGGGAAATATTACCAGCTATTGTCCGTATCTGATAAGAAAGAGCACATACTGATTAAATTTTATCAATTCTATTGGTCTTTCTGGCGTGACTTGGTTTGATGTGACCTGACATAATAATGCACATGTCATGTGCCTTAAAAAAAATCTATGGTGTGGTTTTTGTTTATAGAATGCTTGCAAGTGCATTTCAGGGACACAGACACCTCTATTTATAAAATGCCCTACATTTCAAGGGAAGTAGTTCTACATGGCTTTATTATTTATTTTCACTGAGGAAAAAAATATTTTCAGAGCAGAAAAGGTTACATTTTTTGAGAAGGAACAGGAAAATGGAAATATTCTGATAAAGTTGCATTATACTGCAAGCCACTGAAGCAGAAAGGGTGCTACTGAAATTCTATTCACACTCAGTTCAACTAATCTACAGTTTTCAGCCTTTTATCCTGCATGGACTATATATTTTGAGCTCACCTGCTAATGCAAAGCAGATCTTGCCTCGCAGCTATGAAACGTGATATATGTGGACCTAAGCCTCTTATGTGAGATTTTAAATACTCTGGTTTTATAGGCAATTAAAAAAAGAACCTCCCAATGGCAGGAAAAGATTGATAAGCTATAGCTTTCAGCAGTGGGCAAAGCATAGCTAACATGTTTGGCATCCCTTGGGCTGGAGAACACGGATTTCCACTGCCTGTTGTATCATGCAGGAGATTAAAAGGGAAGATGTCATAGCCAAATTCAGTGCTGAGTAGTTGTTTCCAAGCTTGACAAGAGGCACTGCAACAGGCCTTGGTTTATGTGACCGAGGTATTTGGCCTAGCACTGGACAACAAATCACACAACTTCAGAGATCAAAGCTAAACAGCTCTTTTGCTGTCTAGCTAAAAAAATCTGCACTTCTGTATGACCTGCTAACAAAAGTCAAGCCTCATGGCCTCTTTGAGGCAGCCCAACTCTAATCTTTAGCATTTCCTCTTGACTACCTGCCCTTGGCAACAGGGAAGCCAAAATCAGTAACCATCAAGCAATCTCATCTTCCTCTGCAGTATGTGCATCTACTGAATTACATTTTGGATTGCCACTATCTACAAATTTTTCAAAAAGCCATAGTTGTGTCTTAATTTTATACACTTAGTATGGTCTTTCATCATAATATTTTATTCAAACTTCTAAATACTTGAAACTGTTTAATATAATTACATTTCTACATATAAATATGTTTACAATGTCCAAGCTGACAAAAACGATCAAATTCTCTTTTGTTGCTTGAGTGTAACTAAGAGAGGGAAGCTTGTAGGCACAGATGAAAAGAAAAATATTACCCTTTTGCTATATAATATATGCATAGCCACACATATACATTTATAATAGCATAATATTATATTAACATGTAGTATTAATTAATGTAAAAACTAAAGAAAAACATTTTTTCTAGAGCTAGTACCTACAAATATGCTGAAGTCAACAGAATTTGTGTGCAGGTCTCTGGCAAGGTTTTATCAAAAGGATAAGCACTTCTTTCCTGAGTTATGCATTACTAACTTTTCCAGACTGGACTCTAAACAATGGGACCTGATTTTCTGCAGAGAATTTGGATAGAAAACCATGGGAACCATGGGCATCCGAAATGCCTCTTTAATCTGTAAACACTGTCTTGGTCTACCAAAACGGAGATTGAAAAAAATGGGGGTATAAAGCACTTCTAAGCTCTGGGGAAATGTGGGTTGACTTCTACACTCTTGTACAGTTTTGTTCTCCCTTGAATTTTCAATTACATCATCTTTTTGATCCTTTCTCTTTGGTGCTGGGTACAATAAAAAGCCTTTTCTGCTCAGAGACTGACTATTTAAGACAGCTCCTAGAGCAAACTGTTCTGAAACACAACAAGCAGGACAATACCACTAATGAGAATAAAAATCCTTAATGCTCAAGGTCACATCATAAATAAGAAAACACTCTTCTTTAGCACACTGAAGACATGACAGCACCATGTATGATGCCCAGACTCCTGACAAAGATCACCCCTCATCATCTGACTGGCCCTTGAATAAAGCCTTTGAAGTAATATTGTAGAGCTGCTATTTTATCCCTTGCTATATTCTGCAATTGGAGTACTGTACTTAGCAAGAACACCTTTCAAACCTGCACTAACTTACTTTTCTGGTGTAGACCGTTGCCTCATACGATGTGGTGGTACTGGTGGTGGCACATGGGGTGGCAAAGGGGATGAGACCTTAAAGGCATCGGAGCTACTGTCAGAAGCACTTTTGGACAGTGGTCTGTACGTCTGTGTCTTTGCAGCTGGGTGTGCCTGAGCAGAGAAGGATGGACTGTAGCTACCTAATATAAAACAAAACCAGAAACAGTCATAGCATGAGAGTAAATCTTAAAAAAACACGAAATGGAATGCTACAAGAATCCACAGTAACTTAATAAAATGGCAAGATTACAAAAATGTGTAAATGAGTTTTAGAAGTACATTGCTGTGTATTATGCAGCTCATTAGAGAACTTATATATTTTTACACAAAATTACAAACACATAAGTAAAGTGCAATACAGTTAAAATAAATTAATTTGATGGAGAAGTAATTGGGTGCATACATCCATCACATCTGTTAATGACAGCCTGTAATTAATCTCCAGGATCATCCTGTTCTCAGTTCCATGTTCAGAAAGTAGAAAAGAAGCAGGAAACACACATTTTTTGATTGTTTTAATAACTATTTGGTTTGTGATAATGAGGCAATAGCATTATCTTGAAGAGGATCACAAGAGTACAAACAGATGTCAAACCACTGACCCACTACAAGTCATCTGAACAGCACAGAAAAAGGCACTATAGAAAGCATGTTTAATGCAACAAAAACTGAAATGAAAAAATTTTGAATGGCATTTTTGCAGAAGGCACTATGGCCTTTTTGCACACAGTCTATTAATGCTTTCATTTTTGCTTTTTTGGAAATAATTTTACCATATGGGTATAATCTTCTTAAGACACAATGATTATATTTCTTAGATGAATATGTCTTTTCTTGTGGCTAAATAACATCAACATGAATGCCTGTAGCAAAAATGGACAAGTTTGTAAAACAATCCGTTTTATCAGGCACTCTTGCTGCATATTTTTAAAATGTATTCAGTACATTATTTTTGTCTTTCCATGTCAGTAATTACTCTTTTCATTTTCACATGGTGGTTCCCTTTCCATTTCTTTAAGGAAAGGCTGCATTACTAACAATCACTAGTGAAAATAAATGCAAAGTAATCAAGAAACTACAGAATTAAGTGTATCCCTCTACCGTAAGAAGAGGTCCACAGCTGCAATTAATTTCTGCAGTAAGAATGAAACTAAAATTAAACTTGTTTCATTTGGGGGAAAAAGACACGAACAACTGAGATCAAATGAGACACTAGAAGGTGTGTCTACAAGCATTACAAAAGCGAGTGTGAAGAGTTAACTACACCATCACTTGCTGACATTAACAAAAGCGTCACTTTGAACACGGAGTAATTCCTACCAGTATTGTATGCATATGCAGTATTATACAAGTCTGTGTCGTCATCTACAAAAAGAAATACATATGTTACAGTAGTGCCATACATCACAGAAACTGAGCTTTGTTTCTGCAAATACAAATAGAAGATTGGTAAGCCATCAAGCATGGTATTTCTTTTCCTCGTCTCATAGGTGCCTTTGGAAGACTCTCTTTCCCCCTTACACTTAACTTAGGCCATTATTACCATCTTATTGTATTGCATCTTCTGGTCATGTCACCCATATCACATACTTACTAAGTTAGCACCAAACTGCAAATTACTTTTTGTCTGTTCTTTTCCCTTCCCCATGCTTGATTCCTTCCTTTTGTCAGCTTTCCTATGCTACAGACTGTTAAGCTGTTCTTCCTATCACAAAAGGCAATCCTAAATATCTACTATGTGACTAGTGTTCAAGATAAAGCCTGTAAGCCAACATTCTCCTGCCTATATTTCTTATTCTCCCACTAACATTCTGTGTGACCATACTGAATGTTAGTTTTACCTCAGATGAATAAAGTCTCCTTCCTTTTGGAGGTATAATGAACATAACTGCCATTTACACAGTTTCCTGACATCCTTGGGGCAAATCATAAAGGACATTAAAGCTAGCAATCTCACCAAAACTCAGTCTCAGCAAAACCAAGTAAGATATTCTATGACAACAATTAAATTCAGGCACAAAATTTTTCCTTAAACCAGCCTGTTTACTAGCCCACGCTGTTCTAACACTGGAGTTCTCCAAAAGAAAGGCAGAAGGGAGGAGATTTACAGTATAAAATTTCACGTCCCTCAAAGTGGACATGAGGAGACAAAGACAAGAATATACTCACCAGGCTTATGAACCATGTGGATTTGCTTGAACATTGTCTTGTACCAATCCTTTGGCCTGTCAACTGTCTGAAAAAAAGCAGAGTTTTAACAATTACCAACAAAATAAAAATACCCATGTGTACAGATTGGATCAGATGATTAATGTTATTCTGGACAAAAATATTATGTTATTCCCTATTTAATAGAATAGTTTCAATGTATTTTGAATGTATTTATGTGTTTTATTGAGGAATTCCTTTAATGAGTTCTGGAAGACCCTGAAGATTAAGTCAGTCTTGGACTCCGATCCTGGGAGGGCATGATGGTTCAGAACATTGGAATTATTGTGACGTCAACAGTTCATCACCTTTGTGCCCTATATTTGACAATGATGAATGCTAGATACTTTACAGGAAAATAGAAATACCTCAGCAGTTATGATTACAAGCATGTAAGAAGTGCTTCTTTTGACCTCCTGGCAATTTCTGGTTTAAATTACTTTCAAAATGTAATTGTTAAATAATGCAGATAAACTTTGTAATACTACTGAGAAAATAACTAAGACCACACTATATTTTAATGTTTGGAATGTAAACAAAGAGTATTCTTTACAAGTTTTAAAAGCCCTTTCCAGACAATTTTAACTTATTCAATAATCACTCATTAAATTATACTTATCCTTACTTTTGCAAACTAAGTAATCATAATCCCAAGGTTCCCAAACTCTACTCATATCAACACCTGCTTGTGTTTCTTTTTATCTCTTATCCTTTTGAATTTTCTCTTTTGCTGCAATTTTCTTTGAGGTAGGATGCAAATATTTCAGAAACACAAAGGCAAACATGTTTTCAGTATTATCATTCTTAGATGCTAAAATTTTACTTGTCCCACAGTAGTCAGAAAAGCAGAAGTTTTAATGCAAAGAATCATGGAATCATAGAATGGCCTGGGTTGAAAGGGACGTTAAAGATCATAAACTTCTAACATCCCTCCCATGGACAAGGATAACTTTCATTAGGCCAGGTTGCTCAGAGCTCCATCCAGTGTGGCCCTGAACGCCTCCAGGGATGGAAAATCTGCACCTTCTCTGGGCAACCAAAAAAATCACTATGTTCAAACATCATGGTATACAGGGAAAATTCTCTTAAGTACCTTATCTTGCACCAGCAAATACCAAATTTGCAATCACTTTGCTTACTCCTCTTTACTACAAAAAGAAGAAAATCTATGAATGCTTCCCTACAGAATACTGGACAGATGTGCACCAGATGCTCACCACACTCTGCCATCATTATGAAATCACACCTTTGCCATGTTTATTTGTACATAACTAATATGTTTTGTTTGCAATGGTGAGCTTTTACTATAAGGGACTAGGTAGAAACGCTACTGTATTTTGAGGACTCATATTGAGTTCTCAAAAAATTGCTACTAAATAATATTAGAACAATGTTTAAAATAAGAGCTGACAGTCAGCTGAAAAACCTGGGGATCTCCTGGGTAAGAAAAAAATTAAGCAGTTATACTTTTCACCTAGGCCTGCTTGCAAGAGAGAGGTAAAGGAGTTTTGTCTGAAGATAAGATAGGTCCCTTCCACCACCTAACAATATGCTGAGTTCTGCCAAGTGTAAGTTATTCAGAAGCAGATTCGGGTCATAATAATATTGTTTCCTTAAAAGTATTAAATACCTACACTAGTGGAACTCTAGTTAGAATAACTGGACTTGAAACAAGTATGCTGTTTAGTGCTCCAGGATGATATATACTCAAAAGTTTAAAATTCCAGGAGGTCTGAAGGAATTCACACTGATGGACATTACCTCCCTGTTTCTCCTAATTTCCCACAGTAACAGTCCCATGATATTGTGACTGCTTTTCTGAAGAGTCTTCCAACCAGTGGTAGGTGAACAAATTGCAAATAATGCATAAATATTACTGCTATGTCCCTGCTGTTTGTCAAGCATTGCCTGGTCCTCCACAAAGTCAAAGGAGGCTCCCACACAGAGATCAGTATAGAGAAGCTTCCAAGAGTAGAGAAGGAAGTTTCCCAGCATCCTACTGGACATTTGAATGTTCCTTTCTCTCATCTCCCCATCAAACCCCTCCTAGGGGTTTCAGCCCCAGCCTGTGACTTGGCTTTATGCTATAAACCAGACAGGATTAAAAATAAAATACATTAATTTTGAAATTCAGTTTCTCAATTTATATTCACTAATCCCACAGAGCAACATTGTTTGAGGAATTAACAGTATTCACAATGCACGAAGCCATTCAGATGCCATCCTGCTTTGCACAATATTATAGCTGATGCAATTAAATGCCGGAACATGGCATCATCGTATGTGAAAAAAACCAATCAGCCAAATAGCATGTAAAGCACACAAGAAGTAACTGCAATTGCTTCTCAGGAGAGTCCATAATCCCTGCAGTATTGTAATCATCCATCAGGAAGTATGCAATTAAAGGAGGCCTCTCTGACCCTGAGATTAGCTTAGCTGGTGGGAATAATGCTTGTATCCCTATATGGGCTATTCACTTAAGAGCTTGACTTGATGATCCTTGTGGATATTCCAACTCAGAATATGCTGAGACTTTCAGTGGACCTCTGGTTTTTTGTGTTTTGTTTATCTTTTTTTTTTTTTTGAGCTGAAATATTACATCACTAAGTATGGAAAAGAAACCTAGCGGGACTTGATTTTTTTTTCATTCTTACTAAGTAGAGGCCTTTTCAGTCTACCGATTAATTTGATAATTAGATACAGAGCAATCATTTCGGATGGACTAAAACAATGCAGTCTTACTGCTTTCCATGAATCTGGCTTTTCCTTTCCCAGGTCCCCATCAGTGGTAAATGCTGCTATATTTGACTGAATGCTTTTCTGAGTGAACGCCATTTTACCCTCTCTTTTTCAGAGACTTCATTTTTCGTGTCTTGGAATTTTACCATCTTTGGGGTAGGGCTTGGCACAAAGGCAGAACCTAACAACAATCTGAATTTTCAGACTTGCATTTCCCAGAGCTAGAAGGAGCTAAACTGGCATAGAAGGAACATGTTAACATGGGATTGGGATTCTAAGTGAATAAAAAGCTTTATAGGAGTCCTTCCCTTCTCAGAAGCCTGATACAAAATGGGTTAGTAGGAATAGAAAGAACATCTTTCTGTTTTCCTTGGCTAAACAGCTGTCACAAACCATGTTCTAAGAGTAAAGGCAGACTGAGAGGATACAATCACATCTTGCAAAACCTCTCTACTTCTGAGAAGCACTCAAAATTTGCAATACAGATACTCCTGAGTTCTTAGTAACTTGCTAAACTTTGAGCAGCACAGCATTTTAGAACACAGTGTGTGTAACCTATCACCCCATAATCTTCATTTACTGCTTTTAGATAGACTGTTACCATTTTTGCAAAGATGGAAGAAACTGGTAAACTTTACATGCAATGATAAACTGAATTAATTTGAAAACCTCTCTTTTCAGATGGACTGAGGGTGAACCTGCTGGGAGAAGATTCCTATTTGGATTGCTCACTGACCTTGGAAAAAGGGCAGGTGATATACTCTACCTTCTACTATTAATGGAAAATGCAGTTTTAGCACTTTTGCAAGGTGCAGCGTATTTGAGTCTTGCTGACAACTATACCAACTTTGTTCTTGCTCAGCTGGGGTAACAGGGCTCAAATATACTTGTACATACTTATAAAGTAATCTCAAATAAGTATCTTGAAAACAATTTTACTACCAGCTATGTCTTAAGGAAGCAGAATAAGAATGCAAAATGGCACATCAGACACAGTCTTACACATACACACGCCAGCATGAAGTTTTAACTTATCTCTCATTGTGACAATTATTTCTATAATAGCAAGATTACAGGCTATAAGATTTCTTGAAACTGAAACACACCAAAAACCAGAGCAAAACCAGCTGGAAAATGTCCTAATTAAAACTGAATTATATTTTTAGGAGAAAATCTGAAAGACTCAGATCATACAACCTGAAAGTTAAATATAGTCTGGCAGATTGCCAGCTTCATTAGGCACACTTAAGGGGGATTTCTATTATAATCTTATACAAATGATACGCACCCTGTTAGAACAATCTGCTACTAAAAAAGCACAAAACAAATTACCATATCCAATATAAAGCAAAGGGACTACATACTTAAAAAGAGGACAGGAAGCTAGAGCATTGCTGGAAAAAAATGTCTTTATTTTTAAAAGATTCTGATCGTATCCCTTTTTTATGTCAAAAATAAAGCAAGAAATGGAAGAGTTTCTCCCCCATTCTTATAAAAAGTCTCCCCATCTTACCACTTATCCTGATTTTTTCCTACTGATTTTCTCCATTAATTCCTGGTTTCACCTCTAATTTTTCAGTCCCTTGAAGCAATTCCTGGCAATAGAACATAGCCCCATATGTCAATACTGGCAGACAGGATACATCCAACAGCTGCTACATCCCTGCACCACACTAAGACTTCACCTGCAAGGGCTCTGCCGCTTTCATCCTGGCTCCCACTCTTCTCACTTTGTCCGTCCAGCACAGCAGTTCTTCTCTGGCTGGGAAGGCCAGCAAGTGCTGCCTTCACAGACCTAGTGCAGCTGCCTCTGCGCTCTCTGGAGCAGCCAGAAGAGGCTGCCCTGACAGCAGAGTGGAAAGAATGCTTCAGCATAGTGAAAACAAAACTCTTCAGTCTGACATCCTGGGACCACTCAAGCAGTGACCAGCGGCAGATGATCAAAACTGGGCTGGTCACAATGAAAGGGCTCCCCAGCTATTTGCTTATGTGTCACTCAAAGGCACAATGATTATTTACTGCACTGTCATGGAAATGCTACTCCCTTAGACTGCCAGCAGAACCAAACTGCACATTTCTACGCTACCCTCATGATATGAGAACACTGCCCCAAGAAATGCAGAACTGTAAGATTTTTGCATAAACACACAGATGTACATACAATCATTTGCACATATACATATATATAAAGTATGCATAACCTTTATTTCGGAAATAAACCAAATGCAATTACCTTGCATCTCCAAAAGGCAAGAACTACAAGAGACAGAGGAAAGACACTAAATTTTGGCTACTTCTAATTAAAACTGAAACATGAGGTTGCCCAATTACGCTCCCATCAGCATTCTCCTTTTCGTCAACACACAATATTATATTCACAAGGCTGCTGATTACACACACTCTATTCCAAATTATATAAGAGTAGAAGAATGTGAAAAACCCATTACCAACAATCAGTTCATTGTATGAGCTCATACACAGATTTCCCAGAATTTCCTACCGTTCTAATTGCTGTAGGGATTCCAGATTCATCTACCGGGCCAATCCCTGCATAATGTGGAGCTTTAATTACTGTAATTTTTTTTTCTTCTTCTGAGGATCTACAGATTGGTATTGTACTGGTGGTGGTGGTGCTGCCAACATTCTGAACATGCTGTGAGTATGTCTCTGTAGACTCTGTAAAGATAACATGACAGAAAATTGTGTAATGACACAATAATCATACTTGGCAGTTAAAACATACTTCCCCATTTCAGTATGCTGTACAAAGGCTGACAATCTTAATCACATACATATACATTATTTTAAAGAAATATCTTAACTAGGGATTTCCCCTACTTAATGTTACATTAACAGAATTACAAACTTATTTATGGACCAGACAAGCTGTTAAACTCAGAATTAGAGTGGAAGCACCTTTTCACAATGTCTTGCTCAATAAAAAGAGAAAAAACCCCACAAACCTAGCAAAATCTATTGAGAAAGGTGCAGCAGTCTTTCTTCTATAAATCAAACTTTTGCATCTTTTATACCCATTCCTTGAAAACCAGTGACATAATTTCAAAACTTCCACCCACCAATTCTAGCAAACTATAGAAAATTGCTGTTCTGTAGGCACAGAAAAGAGCCTTGCACAAAAACTTATGTGCTAAGAAACATGAAGTTTTGATGCATGAACATTTTAAAGTCTGACATACAGTGTTCTTCACTTATGTTTACATGATTCCAAGTATAATCCATAAAAATGTTTTTTGTAACCCGGCACTTGTAGAACAATCTGATGAGCCACCTACAGTAACTCAGATGAAGTGTTCAAGCTGCTACTGTTTTGTAGTGACTTGCAATATTTCTACCCTTCCCCCTCAAATCTTCCTTTATAAGTAATGAAATTAATACATCACTATTACCATCTCCTTCTAAAATGCAGAACAAAACTTAACAAAAACCACCTCAGTGCTGGGATGTGACATGAAAATTTATACTTCTGCAGACAATACACTCATTCCTCTATACAGGAAAAAGAGCCCTACTCCTTCAGACAGCAGGTTTCAGTAAATTAGTGGGCTGCTATTACAAACACTCTATTTTGCAAGTGCAGGTACAGTGAGATGGTTCCACTGCAGGATAAATAATGCAGGGAGTGAAAATATATGTTCTAACACTAATGGTGACAATTACAATTGACTTTCATGTGGCATTAATATCCACTGATTGTTCTGAAGAAAAATAGGAATTGTAATATGAGCCTGCAAAAGGAGCTCTGGTGACTGAAAGCTCTAATTTTAATTTGAACATTTCTGCTCACTCCCATTGCAGTGCTGGATTTGGCATGGCTGTTTCAGCTGTTTACTCAAGTCTGAAATCCTGTAAATAATTCAGTGCTACACATATATGGCGAGGGGCAACTCTGTGTGGCAAACGTCTGAATATTTGGAACTTTTTCCCAAAATGCACGATGTTAAATTTAGAAAACATTTTGGATTTGATCCTTCATTCTTTATAGGCCTCAAACTGAGGCCATCAGGGGGATTTCTACATGAGCAAAGAGAATTAAATCAGGCTCTTACTGTGGAACACTGAACTTCAGCATCACGCAAGAGTGAAAGTCATAGGATATATTTTAAGTATATCAAAACCAGTATTGATAGATCTTTAGCTCTGCAAACCAGAAGCAATCAAAACCCCTAGAATTCTGGGATGTGGAGTAACCCATGTATACAGTTTTTCTACTTATCACTATGATGACAGCAGCATTTGTCTAAGATGTCTCAAAGCAAGAACTGTCACCTAATTTCTGTGCAAGCACAAAGAAAAAGTGAACTGTGGGACTACATTCAAGATATTTTGCATGTATAATCTTTTCTAAATATGCACAACACTGGTAGAAAAAGCAGCAAGTATCTCTTGGCAAAACGGGATTATACTGGCAAAGAGACTAAGGCTGATAGTATTTGGTTTAATTTTTAAATTAAAGATGCATTAAAAAAATACATGAACTAATTTTAAATTGATGCAGCTTTAGGTTTGTAAAAGCCCAGAGCCTCTCCCTTTGCTGACAGTATTTCTGCTGAAGCATTATGGAAGTCGTAGGAGGAGCAAAGTACAAAGTGGGTCCTCGGCTTCTTAAGGCAAAATCTGAAAGGGCTGGACAGGTTGAGCTATTTTGATAGACGCCCTTTCCTTGGTAAAGCCAGTAGAAAATTGGCAAGAGGTTAGCTCACACACCTAGGTTATAAAACTTAACAGTAACCGCAGTTCAGGATCACTGCTGTACCTAACAATAAATGCTATTATTTTTTTGCATTTACTTCCCAAGGTAGATGAATAGACAATACCTTCATTATGGATGTGAAGCACTCTGCAATTGTTTGCAGTCTTTGCCACATGAATCAGAATACGTTGTGTAATGTATAAAGCAAACATTCTGTGTGAGGCTTACCCATCATCCTGCCATGCTGCATGATAACAATGTTGGAATTGAGTGAAGCTGGTGGAGGGTAAGCTGAAGAAGGGGAAAAAGGCCTTTGGAAGTGACTCACTGGGCTGGCAGCAGTGCCAGAATTCCCATTCACTGTGATCTGAGCCTGAGAGAGACAAAACAATATCCCATTAAAGTACACACAAAGCTTTCAGACTGAAATTCCAAAGAAAGAGTGATGCACGACTGTCATCCACGCAACAATTAGGAGTTGTCAGGTACACAGCCATAATGGCATCTGCATTCACTGTAACACAAAACTTATCACAAAGGGAGCAGAGTGTGTTCCTGATATACCTCGTACCTCCCCTCTTCTCTCCTTGTGTGTGCTGGCTGTGATACATGCTCTCTTGGGAAGGTGACAGAGGGATCACGGTCAAGGCAATGAAAATGGCACAAACACAGAATTCACTCTTCCCATCAGTCTGCCACAGACCCCTCACACCAAGAGACATATTCCCTTAGTGCACACGCTCAAGCACTATGGATATGGGAGCTTCTGTGCAGACTGAAGGGAAAAGTCTCATTATGAATAGCTGAGAAGAGTGACAAAAATGTCTTTAAAAAATGGAAGGCAGCTGGAGTGATTGTGGCATGCTGATATGTAATCTATCACAATAAAAATAAATTGCACCAATTAAAAAACCAACAACCCACAAACACAAAATGACAGAACAAAATAAAAAATGGGAGAGCTAAGCAAACTGGCAATTAAGCAGCAAGCACCTAAAGCCATTTAGGGTTTAGTCACTAGAAGTACTTCACAAGAGGAAACTATCTGCCCCCAGGTTTAGAATCTCTGCACTGAGTCTGTATCACTTTTATGGGGAGTATTGAAAGAATCAAAACTGAGTCACTGAGAAAGCATTGAATGAAATAAGAGGCTAGCAAATATTTCAGCAGAAAAGCAAGGGAAGCTCTCTGCAACATCTCCTTTAATGCAGAACTGTTCTTAAAAGCTGAATTAGAAGAACTATAAACTTTGCTCAATTTCATATAACAAATGAACTAAAACATGCTGCAGATGTAAAGAAGAGACTACCTGAAGCAGTAAAGCATAAATAAAAGCATACTAAAATGCACATTATTTTTAAAATAAATTATTCATGGCCTTCTGTATGCATTTTTATTTTGGAGATAACTGCATTGATTTGAACTTTTTAACATCTTGGCCTCCTATAGCCAAGAGAGAAAAAAACATTTCTGGGTCCTATGCAGACATCACTTGAACTCCTAGTTGCATTCAGGGTTTTCTCATTTTAAGAATGCCTGTTTTCAGAAATTAGCTGAAAATTTTCTGTTGTGGTGATGTCTCTATTGAAAGTTTTGTGTTTAAACATCTCCTCTCTTAATAAACTCTAGAACCAAAAGCAAGTTGGCTTTTCTTATGTGATCCTCTCCTCCAAAAAAACTCCAGTTTTGGAGATGTAAGAACAGAAAAGCTACATAACTCAAAGACAGCATTTCAACAGTATGAAGGCATGTTTCCACATAAGGTTTCAAACTGAGGCCAGCAATCTCTCCTCTACTTCAGGTGTTCACCCATTCTCTTTTCCTACATACTGTCTTTGTGGGAAAGCTTGTTTCTAGGGAAGGCAGGGTACAACCATGTGCAGAGCCTTACACCTTCTTACTCATTTACTATGGCTTTGCTGCTCTGAGCAGAACCGGTGTGAGTTCTTTGCAGACTGGAAAGAGACTTCCATGAATTTCTGTAGCAAAAGATTGAGATGTTCCTGAGAAGGACTTTACCAAAGAGCTCAGTTAGACAGTAAGGCACTTACACTAAGTAGTAAAAAATATCATGAAAACAAGACCCACAGAAGTAGCTGAAGGACATCAGTCATAAATGTGTATGTGGCATGTTCATATATGACATTTTTGGGTTTGCTTCTGAAGGTTTTAGATAAGATCTCAGCTCCATAATAATTTCTTAGTTTTTGATGATTTTCTCTTTGAGGAAAATGTCTGTGAAGGTAGTTATTTCATTTTTTCATCTGCTGCATCCTGCACAGTTTACAGGGTTAGCTATAGAAGACAGTTTTACCAAAGGCCTTTTCTTCCTTTGGAATAATTTGGTAGTTACTGACATTTCAATCCAACAATGCGACACTTTAGGTCCAGGTGACAGAGTTTATTCCCGCATTATACAAGAAAGTGAAATACTTTAAAATGCCAATTCATGAATTAGACGTTTTGCTTCCCTAGGTGATCTTTGTGGGAAAAGAAGACAATATGGAAAAAAAAAAAAAAACGCTTATTCAACCAAAGTGCACCTATTTTCCAATTTACTGGAAAAATAGATTTCATTATGTTCTTTTCCCTACCAATCTCTATTATTTTTTTCCCCAGTACACCTAACCTGTCCTCCACTGCAAGTAGAACCACTACTTCTGCAGCAAGATAATCAAGATCCTGTAAAAATTCCTATGAGGTATCAGGTTTAAAATTCCTCTAATTTGCCTGAGCATCAGAAAGAGGAGCTCTCTGGATTTCCAGATCAGAACAGAAGAAGGCCTCCATCTGGAACTGGAGCTGCTTTCTAACTTTCCCTCTGCTGAGACAGGGAGAAGAGGTCACATTATGGATATCTGAGCAGGTCTTGGCAAGAATGTTGCACAGCACACACTAGATCTCAAGACAATGAATTAGGTTAAAATTCTCAAAATCAACTGAAACTCAAGACAGTCATAGAACTTGGGAAAAAGCAAAGATCTAATGTGTACTTCCATTTCCAAATTTCCATTAGATTCCACAATTTCAAACTACATGAAAAAAAAGGACCCATGGAAAATATTTTATAGGGAAATGTTCATAATTGGAATAAAACCAGAAAAAAAAAAATCCAAAACCAGCTGTTCTCTAATTTTAACTCCAATTCTAAGCATAGGCACAAATAAGAATTACAACTCTCATACTTCAGGTTTTCAAAGAATCTGTAATCTGTGACTAAAGGTAAAGAAAATTGACCTGAGTTTTACCTTTAGGTCTGCCTTTTGCCTTAATATTTGTCAATTTTGTTGACTCAGCTCTTCCTGGTGCTGTTGTTTCTTCTTAGAAGCAGTTTTAGAACTTTTTTTGTCTAGTCTCATTAAGAAACTCAAAAATAAACAAACATGCCCTATGTGGACATAAAGTCTTTAATGCACAGTTATATCTTATGCAGGTAGAGTGGTGGATGGCCCAATCCTATATTACTTTTATCATTCTCCCAGTGGTTTTCACCTACAAAATCAACATCAATCTGAAAATGAAGATGATTCCAGGATTAGAGCCACTAACAACACATGTGTGTGTGCCAACCAGCTTCCCCACTATTTCATTTCATGGATGCATTTTTAGCCATCTGGCTCTTCTCTATAGAGAGTGGGAGATGATGACTTTTCTATACTGCAGAGTTGGGTTTTGCCAAGAACTGGAGTTCTTAGGACTACTTGGGGATTTTTGCTCTTGGGTGAGTGTCTTTTCATTTTGTTTTGTCTGTCAATGGTGAACAAACGTTATGCTCATCCCTGCCATGTCTGAAAGAGAAAGTGGTGGTCAGACCTGGTTATTACATAGCCTTCTACTGGGAGACTAACCTAAAAAGGGGAAGAAGGACCAACTGCTCACTTTAGCTTGCAAAATATTATGCTCAAGAAAACAAATACAATTAGCTGACAATTTTAGAAGTAGGCTACAAGAAAATATAAACATTCCATGCTTCCCATAGCTAGTAAATGGTCATGTGGTGACTCTGTCTGACCAGTCCATATCTATGGTATCTTTGGCTACAAGAACTGTGTTGTATGCAGATTCACAGTAATAATTTTTTTTTTAAAAATGTTTTCCAAGCTGTGTTACAGAAGTTAAGCATTAAAGCTTTTACATGCCTGCTATTGGTATTATTTTTTAGCAGCATCCAGAGCAATGACAAACAATCATTGGCTTTCCAGGTGACTGTGTGCAAGGTTGGACTCAAAATACTTTTTATAAATTATATATATATATATATATATATACACATATAATATATATATACACACTGTTTGTTCTTTTCAGGCTTGAAAATTACTGTATGCTAAAGTATTTATATGAAGTTTGAACACTGCTGTGACCCAGTAAAACTTTGGATTCAGAACATCTTTGTTTTGCAATTCAGCAATGAATTGCTCAATTTAAATGAAGGCTTTGTTCTGACTAATTTTAATCATGTGGATAATCTCAAAAGAAATCAAAAGTGATCTGGGTTTGACCCAGATTCCATACCTTCTTTCTCCCCATACATGAGTATACTAAGGAACAGGAAAGTGAATGTATGTATGAAGGGTCTAACCGCATACTGACTTTTCCCTTGATTTAACCAAGAGAAAAGTAACAGGACACTTGAATAATTCAAGATTACTTATGCAGTTCAGTCCTGTAAGAAACTGTGCTTAGGAGAGGAAAAGGTTAATTAGAGGAGAGAAAACCAGTTTTGTGCAGTCATCATGGCTGGGGAAAAAACTGCATTAAATATTGCAAACATTTATTATGAATTTACAAATTACATTATTGAAATCTGCATCTCAGTGTAAATCAAAAATGGTGGTAGTCCAGACTCCAAAAACCTGTAAATTGTTAACAATATTTTAAACAAATAACTTCAAACTCCATGGAATTCTTGCTTTTAATACATTTGGAACAAGTATTTCTTGAATTTATTTTCTTTTAAGCAAAATGTTTGATACACCTTAGTTGACCACACAACTGTGCAACAATCATTTCCTACTCCCAAATCTGCTATGTCCATGATTTTTTCTTTTACCAACTGTTACAAATCACTGTCAGACTGTGACCATGGAAAATTACTAACAAAATACTTGTCTGTGTAATGGGATAATAGACAAAGTTGAATTCTGTTCCCCTCTGACAACCTGTTTGAACAAAATGGAGGAGGAAAAAAAGGAAGCATAATTACATGAGAAGTGGCAGCAGTGTTGGTTAAGGTGGTGCCATCTGACACAGCAGACATCTGGCTCAGGGTTGGGGAAGGTGTTTCAGAGCAGTCAGTAGTATCATAGCTACAGGTCTGCAGCTCATCTAGAATGGCTGTGGAGCACTCGCTCACTGTGCGGGAGGAGCACTCGCTCATGGCAGAGTCTGTGCTCACAGAGGCTGCTTCGCTCCTCTGGGCAACACTGGCAGGAGCTACCAACGGGCATTGGCATGGGCACTGGGACAGGGCAGGGGTTTTGTAAAAGCGTGAAGGCAAAAAATCATCAAGCGTTGGCAAAGAGTATGGAACTAGGTGGGTGCCGCTGTCTGGTGAGAAAGAGGCTCTGTTAACTGGTACCACAGGAGAAGGAAGAGGCAGTGGAGAAGCTTCTGTTGCTGTTTGTCTGTGTGTCTGTGAAGCATTTACCTCCATCACAGGGGAAGTTACTTTCTGGTTTCCAAGCTGAGATTTGAGGAAAAAAAATAAGAAAAGAAACAGATTACTTAATGAATAAAGAACTTTTTCCTTTGCCTCTTGCTGGGTGAAGGGGTATCACAGAAGTGTAAGGTTTTCAGCCACCCAAGGAAGTTCACATTTACAAAGATTAGGAAATAAATCAACCATGCTCTATATTAGAGTAGGACAACATAAAAGAAATGAATGCATAAAATACTAGTGGAAGCAATGCCAGAAACCATAGTGTGCTGAGGATGAATATTCATAATGTACTTCATATATTAACCATCTCCATCGTGCATTGAGAGGGTTCACATTATTTTATACTTCACATAAATATGAGGCTAGAGAATGTAATGTCCATGTAGTTTTCAAAGCAAAAATGTATCTGCAAGTCTGATCTCAGTAAATGTTACACTTTTTTTTTGTCAAGGACAGGTGTGATTTTGAAATTAACTGTATATGAGCAGGATTGCTTGCTATACAGTAACACACATAATGACTGTTCATATGATCTGCAAGTGATAAGTGGTAGAATTTTTTGCCTCTTGTGACTGAATACATCTTCTCCACTGCCTCTCTAATAAAAATATTTGGATGATCTTAGAATTTCCAAGCACCCTGGAAGCACCCTGTCACAACCTACTCTATAAGGTGTATAGAAGTCTTTTCAACATTAGAGGACATAAGGATTGTTAGGGTGGTTGATATAAATCTGGGGAACAAAGACTGGGGGGCACAAGAACAGGACATACTGAAACAAAACATGCCAGTTGTTTGGATTCGGCACAGTTCCTTAAAAGTAGAAGGGAACAGTCTCATGAGAGTGCTTCTGAAAACTGCTATACAATGTATGAGCTTTATGTTCTGTCCTTTCAAATCACTCACTCAGTTTAAACTAGTACTGCAACTGGCTTTTTGCATCTGCAACTTCTTTTTGAACTAAAGCATGTTGGCATCAAGTATTTGTTAAACAGCTGCACAAATCCTTCTATGCTGCCTATTAACCACAAGCTTTCCATCAATTCCTAAGTATTCAAAATACTGCCTACTTCAGCACTAATGGTTTCACTGTTGATAGGGCTGAGGACATCTGGAATAGTTACTGGGAGTGTTTGGGATTTTAAATTCATGTAAAGCAGCGGACAGTAAGACACTGTATGTAGTAAATATTACTTTAAAAAGCAGCATTCAGTCATCCATATCACATTGTTATCAGTAATATGGTTATCTCCTACGCTTAGACTAGGCAGATGTCTTTAATAATTCAAAAAATGTTTCAAGCCATCAGATTAAAATGCCATTTTGGCATTTTAATCCAAAATCTGAAAATATCTTCTAAAGCCCTTATGGAAGACTTGGAACACAACCCAGATTATGCTACTAACAAGAGGTCACTGGGGTTCCAGTTGCATAATTCTTGTTGAGATCAACTAGAATTTACACAAATAGCCTTACTGAGGTCAATGGGACCATCCCTATGAATAAGCATTACAGAAAAGAATCTTGAGTATGTGAACAGCTATCTATTACTTGTTCCAATTGATTCAAAATAAATCTTTGAAATCACTGCATCTCTAGGATACACAACAATAGGCAAAAGCAGCTGTAAAAATCTGTAGTCAAAACAGTGAAGAAACTTAGTCAAACAGCTTAAAATCTGTATTTTATTCACAGCAATAACTGAACACCCCCCAACTTAATCTTTTCATAGAGGAAATCTGAACAGATTACCTCTTAATTAAAATAATAACTGAGTGTCTGACTGTAAAAGGACATAGTATTTTCATAAAGAACTAATTTGCCAATAGAAACCTCAAAAGAACAACAGAGTACTATTAAAAATGTCATGAAAAATTATGATGATTATACAGCATAATATATCAGGGATTTAAGATGTGTGTATTTACATACACATATAAGAAACTGCAATTCCATCTCAGAGGTAGATACAGGGAAAACAGAATCATCATTCATAATGATTTTCATCATCTATGTCATCAGATCATATCAAGATCTCCAGCAAAAGACAGGAACCAGGAGATCATGCTGTAATTATGAGGTAGAGCCAAAAAGAAGCTCTGAAGTTCTTGAGACCACTTATCTTCTCAGCATCCCCAGAAGAAAAGTTACATATTACTGAGCCCAAATGTGTAAATTAATCTCTATATAATTAAAATAACAGGAAATCTTGGGGAGCTGAGAAAGCTAGTAAACCTGTCTCTGAAGTGAGGAGATTTCTTGCATGCTTGAGAAAAGAAAGGATGGACAACACAAGGACAGATATTCAGGGTGCATCCAGAGAGCTAATGAAACTGAGACTTTAAAGAATTTAATTTATTGTGATTGGTAAATTAACAGCTGATTTCATCAAGCCAAATTCTTAAAAAGAATATAAAGTTATTATTCTTACACTGCAGACAGAAGGAATGCAGCAGTTCTAGGTGTTGATTCCCAACATGAAGTTTCTTGGCTTTGTAGAGTAGAACTGCTATTCTGCCTGACTCTAGAATACTTTTGTGTGTATAAACATCTCTCTGAGAAAGAGTGGCTGAAATTGTGATTTAAAACAGCATTGTTTTCGAAAACTAAAAAAAAACACCTAAAAAACCATGGAATATCGGTAATCTCAAATACATACAACTGGCTACTACTAATCCATATTTTTCACTGTGCATGCAATTTCATATATGAATCATATTTTCCTATATTTTTCACTGTGAAAAATATGAGAAAGACAAGGCTGAATGCATTCCAGAAAACTTTTAACACTGGTTCCATTCAGCATGCTTCAGATTAGGTTTGTTATTAATATAGCACAAGAAATGCTAGCAGAAGTCAGGCAGATTAAAAGCCAAACAAGTACTTAATCAATTAAATTGATGAAAAACTAGCTTGATTGTTGCTGTCTTGGGTTGTGGAGCCAGACTTGAGAGACAGATGAATGTCATCAGTCTTGATGTGAATTGAAGGTCTGAAGAGCAGCCTTCTGTTGCAGCTTTCTGCTGGTCCTTTGAAACATGTCTTTTCCATCAAATAGTAAAATGTCAGGCCTGAAGAACACAGCTGGTATCCAATTCATATAAAGAAAACAGGTGACCCTAGTATGGGTTTTAAAAGCAGTCATCTCTCGTTTTAATACAAGATACGTGGGGAGTGGTGTGAGATTACTAATGACACCAGAGTCCTGGCCTTGCTTCAACAGTCAAGACACAGATAAGGAGACTCAGAGATAAGTGAATAAATTCATTGTGTTAATACACAGCAAAGTTTAGTAATCAACAATCAAATTACACCCATACATTTGCATAAATGGGTAAAAATACCTCTATTTTTAATTATTAAAAGCTGATTTCAAAATGCCCAAACTAATGCTGGCAATTAAATTCCAATGCCCATTTTTCTACCTAGCCCTCTTATTCTAAATTCAGTATAAGGAGGTGGAGTTCAGCCCTTGTGTCTAAAGCAATACTAGTGATGCAGAACCTAAAATAAAAAATACATGCTCAGTTTTCTGTGCTCCACATCTGTCCCCAGAATGCTAAAATTGGTTTACTCTTTCTTCCATATCACTCTACATACTGTAAATATCTAAAACTCAGAAATGTACTAGATGAATTGATTTAGATTTTTTAAAAATTTCAGGCTTATTTACCTTGATGCACACTTATACAGCTATAAAGCTGTCAAAAGAAACACTTCAATAAACATCTGCTATAGATGGTTTACTCCTCCAGCACATCGGGATTAAACCATCTGAGGAATTCAAATAACAGAAAAAGTGCTTTGCAACCTCAGTTTCAGACAGTGATATGTAGAACAATAGTACACTTAGGAACCCAGGAACAAAATAATAAAAAAATATCAGGTTATTCTTTCTGAAGATGCAGTTCAGAATTCTTCATCAGTTTATAACTTCTTCTTATAAGGGACTTGGACAATAAAATTTACCTCCACTGCTTTCACACTAGTAAATACAGATTTCTCTGTTGAAATAGGTACAGTTTCTTCTCTTGTATCTACAGTATGGTACAAAGAAGCAGCATCTCGGTAATAAATTAAGACTGTAATAATGTAATAATATTGAGTAGCCTGAATGCTTCTATTTTCATATATACTTCTAAGGGGTTTAACCTTTCTCTGAGTAGGAGTGTTTACAAAATGTCACTTGGTGAGTCATAGCACACTTCTGCTTGCTCCTAAAGTTTCAACAGATAAGCGCTGAAATAAAGTGCAAATAGGAGCACATCATAGCAAGATACATTAACTTCGACCACAAAAGCTCTCTCTGGGCTGTGTATTTCCATACTTTGTGACAAAATACAGTTGTGCATGTTGGCCAGACACAGATACCCCCACATGCACAGTATTTCCTCTTTATTACCTCTTAAGAAGAGATGATTACCTGATCTTACCTCATTCTCCTTCTCATACATAAACCCAGATGCAGAGGGAGAGTTGCACCTTTCTAAGTGTATTTGTTTTTTGAGAGTTTCTCTGGCAGCTTTCAACACTGCTGGCAGGCCTAATCTACAGTCTGAGAGCATCCTTTGAGGACATAGCTTGACATACAACCTATAAGCTGCACGTACAAAAGTATTTTAACAATGTCCTGTAAAGCTTGCAGATTTATAACTATTTTAAAAATGAAAAAAACTATTCTGCATAGTATACTGAAAGTTATTTTTCTATGTGAGAGAAATTGTGAACTTTGCAAATACTATGATATTTAGCACTGAAGGGATCATAATATCTGGCATTAGCTAGAACAATTTCAGGGTTTTAAACTGAGATCTGAGTGAGAAAATAAATATTTTTAAACATATAGCTGCAGCCTCTATTTCTCATTTTAGATCGTGGCATCTTCATTTTGGAAACTCACCCGATGCAGAATTTTACACCACCTCACATGCTGATTTTACTCTAGTTTTAGGTATGTATTTTAACAAGGAGCTACAAAAACCACTGGCTCCATGACTCAATTGTGATGCCAAATACACCCTCCCTTCATTAAAATTTATTTCAAAGCTGAATATCAGAGAAAGTGTCAGCTGCATTTTGCAGATAAGAGATCCATAAAGGGCTACAGCTTGAAAACATGGCTACATGACTTAATGACCTCTGTGCTTAACTGAATTTTTTCTCCTTTTATTCAGAGCAACCCAGTCACCAAATTTCTGATAGTGCTTCCCACATACAGAAACCAAGAAGAAGGCAGAAAACTAAGTGCAGGATTGCCAAATAAGCCACAGATACTTTTCTGATTTTTTTTCAGCTCAAAGTGAAACTAAACAAGATTCTAAATTAAAAGGAAAATGCAAAATGTGTTTTGACTTTTAAAATTCTAAAAAAAAAACAGCTAGAAGATGAATTATTTTTAGTTCTTCTGATTTGAATTTGAGTATTATTCTTGATCATGAAAAGGTATTTCCCTAATCCTTGTTAGCTATCATACTTTCTGTTTGAGAGATTTATCTGCCCATATATAATGCGTCATATTCCAACAGGCTGACCAACCATTTTTAAGTGAAAAGATAATGGATTCAAAAATTGTATTTGCCACACCTACACCTGTTCTGCTGTGTGACAGTATCCTTTGATGCCTATATTTAAAAGACTTGCTTCATATCAACCCTATCTTCCAGAAAAAGCTGTTGCTCAGCTTTCCTTACTGTTTCTGACATGGATTCTTTACTGTGGCTCTTCTATGAACTGATTTGTCGTACCTGACAAAAATCACTGAGTAGCAGACTGGTTCTTCTAAAGAGTAAAGCAACTTGCTTTTTCTCAAAATGTTCTAAATTTCATGCAGCCTAAGAAGGATTTAAGATGACAGTTTTTTGTCTAGTCTTGAGGAGGACAAACGTGATTAATCGTTCTGTGCTCCTATTTTTTAATGGAGAGAATTCAAAAGAAGCATTGAAGACCATTGCCATATAATTTAACAGAGCTTTGTTCTGATCAAAAACTTTACTTGGGATTTGAAGGGGGAAAGACAGATATATTAAAACTTTAAAACTATCCTGTTTTTAATGCAGATATTTATGCCTTCCAGAGTAGAGACCTGGTTGAATGTGATGTTCTGAAAGAACCTCAGTCTGGAAAAACAGATGTGTTACTATGGTTGATAAAAGGGCTGTAACTGGACCTTTTAATTTACAAGAGAGTGCTGCATTTATTTCAGAGTAGCCTCAATGATTCCAGCAAAACTAGATGTACACAAATATGCCAGGATGGGATTTTCACTCAGACAAAGCTCTGAGGCAGACATGTCTAGACCTACAGCAATCTGTATGTCCATTTCAAACACCAATAAGCTGTTATATTGGTAGATATACTAGAATAATTATCTTTAAAACAGAAAAATCCTAATGTGGCTAGGTAAAGCAGAGTAGAAATTACAAAGCCTTTTCAGAGCTCTCGTTTTACCTAGTATGTATTCACTGTTGCTTTCTTGTGCCCAGGCTTATTTTATTTGACTCGGTGAGTTTCGGAATGGTGACAAGCCCTGCTCAGATTCCTCTGGTCCTATGCTGCGTGTCTGATATTTCCATTTCTCCTAGGTAAGATCAGTATAATTACAAGAATTTTCATTTCAGTAGGTGTAAGGTATAAGGGAAACAGATGGACCTAGAAGTTCAGTGCCCCATGATGCTTCATGTGGAGGCTGTTGACAAAGAATTTACAAACCCATTTTCTTTGAAAAGCTCTATTGCACAGGACACATAGGAGATGGCAGTGCCCAGCCTTGCAGAAAGCACTGACTGACAAAATGTACTTTTTGTGGCCCTAGAAAACTGACAGAGCTGCATTTAAGCTTTCCTCAACCCAACTCAGCCTAACCTTACTATCCATACTTGATCCTTCCAGCACCTATGGCAGCATAACCCTCTAATGCAATCCTCTCTAGGAAGAGCCACTTGAGAGATGCATCCCCTACAGCACACTAATTTCCTATGGTGCATTTGCACTTTGCAAAGTGCTCACAGAGGAAAAAAGAAGTCTGCCTTCCATCTAAGCTAAATATTTTTCTTTTAATAACCGTCCAAAACCTTCAGTTTGTGTTCATTTCTGTTTTGATCCACATGACAGGTAGTTTTACCCAGAAAACACAGGATCTAACTTTGCTAATGTAAGTATAACTAAACAGATGGTTATTAAGTGATTCATGAAGATCTAAAATAAAAGATGGAAAAATTAAATATACCACATGGCATTCTGGAGCCTGTGAAGAAGGAAGAACTGTAGACTTTTGTCCCAAATCCTTTGAAGACATCTTTGAAGTGTCTGGAGAAATACTAGGTGGATGGTCTTGGATTTCAGGCTCTGCTTTATTGTCAGGGGTGGGAACTATCTGAACGGAAAGAGATGCTGTGTGTATCTCAGGCATGGGGTTACAGGCAGGTGAGATAGGCCTTTGTGAAAATAATGGCTCTTCAACAGGCTTGAGCTGTTGCTGTGAATTACAAGGAATGCTACTTGCTGGGTCACGTGTCCGGGTTAATTTCAGGGTAGATATCTTACGTTTTTGAGACTGTTGCCTTTGGCCTTGATGGAGAGTAGTACTAATGCCAGCTACTGTGCTTGTGTCTGCACTGGAGATTGAGGTCAGTGGTTTAATGATTTTTTGTGCATAGGACACACTTGTGTTAGATATTTGAGAAGACATTGTCTCCTGAACAAACGTCTCGCTAGTGTAATAGGCAGTATCTGTGAGGTGGTGTTTAGCTGGACCAGCAGTTACTGCCTGGAGATTAATTTCGTTCTCGTGATTAGTTACTCTTGCTTTCCGAAAGCTTTCTTTTCTAGGAGGTGGCAGAGGTGCCTTATTTGCCAAAAGCATCCACACACAGAAAAATAACATTGAAGAAGAAACAGAAAGAAAGTAAATGTTAGTAGGAGATATAGTTCAGTTTTACTTTTATATTTAAATAAAGGAGCTAGTAAATTAAAGGGCTTAATCTCAACATTGATAAATTCAATGGACAACTAAATTGGTCAGGTTCCCACCACCATTTCCTGTGCAACTTCTGTTTAAAAAGCCAGATGTTCCATTTGCTTAGACCAAAGTGGGATCAGAAAGGATCAGGAGGAAGCCCACAATCATTCCTTTTCTTTTAAAAAACAATTATTACACTGAGAAAGAATTATTGCTGTGAAAGCATTCAGGTATGTAAGCACTCTGTGATCTTATTTAGCAAGCAATTATTCACAGGTAACACCCATAAATAAAACACAGAGCCTCTTAATTTTTTGAATTAAAAGAATACCAGAGAGAATATTAAAATTGGTATGTTGGTATTTGTTGGACAGATAAAGATGTTTCCAAGTGTGGGGATGGTTTTTTTTTGTTTATGTTGTGTGGTTTTATTGCTTGATTTGGGGTTTTTTTTTGTTTCTGTTTTTAGTGTGTTCTAATTACATTGTTCTGCAAAACAGGCAGAAGCATTTTCTACCATATAATTAATACATTTTAATTCTCAGATATTTTGATGACTGGTGCATTTTTCAAAGTATAAACTATTAATAAATACTCTTTGAAGTCTGGGAACACTCCTAGAAAGCTTTTACTTGTGTATGACCTAGTTTTATTTAGCTGTCTTGCTCATTGAAAGCAATTTCTGGTAATTAACCTGGGGGCATACAGCCTGTGTGGAGTATGCTTTATCTATGCAGCAAACCAGTCTGTAGTGAGCCACATGAGCAGGTGAGTCACACTATCTGCAAGACATCAGACAATGTTTCATAGAGGTAGCCCATCTATAAGTGCTAACCCCCCAGCAGAGGTATAGCATTAAACATGGTGTGTCCAGTTTTACCTGAGTTGGTGATTTTTTATCCTGTAGATTTGGCCGCACGCTCCTAAAACCTTTTGCTGAAAGAGATGAACTGCTAGCGTCTCCATTCAGTGTCTCTCTACTGCCATTATTGTAAGATCGCCAGGCTTTTGTAAATAAAAAAGAATCAAAATATTTTTTGGTGTGATTAGTACGTCTACACTGCTCTCAACACAGCAGCCAGCTACTAAACAAACTACACAACTGACAATGATGCTGTTTTACCACGGAAGTTATAAGAACATGGCTAAAGCTGCCACTCTACAAAATATTAATCTTCAAAATTTGGAGAATTCAAGCACTGACAACAGTTCTGGTATTGGGCAGTTAGACATCTTCCCACAATACTCATATAGACTATGGATTTTTAAACTTGAGCGTTCTTTTGAGGTGCTGATGCTTTGGCCTCTGTATAAATCAGGCTCAAGTTTTTTCACTTTCAGATTACATTCTTGAACTTCATGGCTGTGTTAGATTTTGAAAAACAGCTCATGTAAAATCAGCTTGTCATGGCAGTTTCACAAAATTTCACCACAGTACCCAACTAGTTGTTCCAATAATGTTCCAATCTCATTGCAAAATCTAAATGACACCTCTATTTTACAACCTCCCAACCATGTTTTTCTCTCTATCCTCAGACCTGGAATGCCCTCAAGGCACTGGCCAAACATAGAGAGAGATGTTGAAGACAAAATACTGTAAGAAGCTGGGAAAAGTAACACATTATGTGAGCAGGCTGCTAAGTGAAGGTGGGCAGAACTTGCAATCCTGAGTAAGGCACTAAAAAGGAAATAGCAAGTACCACTGTATGGTGCCACAGTGATGAAGCTAAAGGTGGCAAATTAGCAGTCTGTTTTTTTCCCACACAATTCATTTTTCTGACAACATATTCTGTGTTACAGGGAATAACTGCTTTCAAATGAGACCTGAATTTGAGGTCTTAACCATTAACAATTAGGATTACAGCTTCAGAGGTGCTTTCCTTGAAGAATGAGGAAGTACGGAATAATGAAATCAAATAAATACAAGATTGTTGTAATTCATCCACTTACATGGTATTACAATGATACATAAATAATACAGTGTTTTATTTACCTGAATCTGGAGACTGAGAACCAGACCCTGAAAAAGAAATATCCAGTATTATTTTGCGTTAGAAATAAATTAAATTTACAAAAAACACACAGGAGTATTGATAAGAAGTAGTTCTGCCTGTCTAACGAATATTTATTGTGTTTTAACTGCTATGAATATTTTCAGGTAAACAATCTTCATAATTTTTTTTAAACTAATCTGGCTTCTGACAATAATTTTACAACAACACTCAGATTCCTTTCCTTGAGAAGAGTTTTTAAATCAAGTTTCAATAAAAACTTTGTAATAAGCAAAACCTCTTTTTCATGCTTTATTATCTTGAAAAAAATACAGGGGATGTGAGACCCAAAACACATATCAAGGGCAAAATTAATTTACTAATTTATTAATTTACAAATTTAATTAATTTTTTCCTAAGTATTCCCAATTTTTTTTTCATGAATGGCTACTAAACATAGGCAGAGAGGAATCAAAAGCATTGTAGAGGTAATACATCTGTCAGTGTAATAGAAAATAGTGCTATCCTTCTCCTCCTTGCAAAGTAATATGGCAGGAATGCACAACAGTAGAAAAAAGCCATTCAGAAGTTGTATCTCAGTGGTTAGTGGTGGTACCTGAGGCCAATAGGTTTGGAGAACTCTGAACTCTCTTCACAGCTGTTAATGTGACAGACATTGCAGCACGTTTGCGAGCACAGCCACCGCTATCTGGAAGCACAAAACAATACAGACAGCAGCCCCAGACAAAGGGAGCAAGCACATGCAACAAATCACAGTGTGAGATATGCCAAACATATATGAAAATAAGCATGCCGTTAGGGAACTGCTGCAGAAATGTGTGAATTTGCAGGTTTGGCAGATTAGCAGAATACATAAAATTTCACAGGCTTTAAATAACAATAAACCTCACAGAGAATAAGTGAAGAAAGCTGTATTTAATACTTAATCCACTAGGGAAATATGTACACTCTGTTACCTGAAAACTGCTTAATTACAGCTAATTACTAAAAGCAAACAAGTAATCAAGATAAAGTCTTAAGCATTCCAGAATAATATTAATCAACAATCTGCACTGTAAAATAATTTCATTGTATGCATTAGAAAGACACCATTCATAAACTAAGCTCATGTTTGATCAGCTGTAAAAGTACTTTTGTTCAGTCTTTTGGATCAAGAAACAAAATTACCAGTGAAGGCATAAATTCTTTTTCACTTTGATAGAACAAACTGGCTGTCCCTCTTCCCCTTTTTTATCTAATATAAGTTAAAAAAATAAAAGAAATGTATATCTGGAACCAAATAACATTCTGAGGAAATGAATAGAAATCTAAAATAATTTTTAAAAAATAAGGTATAGAAAAAACTTTCCTTCTGGATTTTGCTCAACTCCTTTCTTTATTCTACTCCTCTCTCACTGGAGCTGCCATTACATTTTATAAATACTCTCTTATTATTAGAAGACCGCTTTCCCACAAGTTAGCTTTTTAGCAACTCTAGTATAGTTGTAAAAGAAATTTAATAAATATTCTTAGCAATTATATTTAACTAGAGTATTTTTCTGCTCTTCACTAAAATAATTATTTTAATTTTAGTATTTAGATACTATTGGGATTTCATTCAGTGCTTCAATGAAGTCAAGAACAAGTATGATGAATGCCTTTTTATTTCTGTAACCTATGACAGGGAGCTTTATAAAATTAAGGTCTTAATGAAGACCTGCAACCTATTCACAGAAAGTATTTGCCATAATAGCAGCAATCTGAGCCACAGAATCTTCTTTAATCCAGGTCTGCAAGAGAAGTAAGCTCCTGGTATTTCTTTGCTCCTTCCTGCTGCTCCAATATTTCCAATAGTCCCCTGGCCACAGGCCCTGTAGGATATGCATTAAGTAGTTGTTAACATTGGCAAACATCAGAGCCACTGTCTTAGATGTAAGTGGCACCAAAGACTCGTTGCCAATTCCAAGGGGCAAGGCAAAAAGCCCAATTATATCAGCCAGCAGTAGCTGAAAGCAATACATTACCTGCCATTAATAATTAGCATTGTACATGTGACAAAAAGGCAATGGCTATCAAATCTGCACATGTGTTTTATTTTGCTTACATAAATACAGAATGGAAATTGTAATTAAAATGACACTTTCCATTCTTGTATTCCTTTTCCCCCATCCATCGACATCCATCAGAGGTAATTACAATGAGATTTGATGATGTGTAGCTACTGAGGTTCTGTTCTAATATGAATATTAGCAGACTTTGAAAGCTTAGTACACTTAATATAAGCTAACATGCAAAAAAATTTGTTATACTGTTACAGGTCTTATTCAAACAACGTGGTAATTTATTTGCAATTTTTCAAGAGCTACCTTCCTGAATTTCATGATAGAGAAAGTGAAGACAACGGGAAACTGACTACAAACATTTAATTATTTTAACTTCAGGAAATTCTGCTTCAATTTAGTTTTTGATGTAATTCAACTGAGTCCGAGTTTTATACTTCATAGGCACATAATCTAGCAAAGTGTTTTGGCTTCATGCAAGAGAAATAAAACAGATTGTAACTGATCACATACAATATTTACCCCATATATATTTTATATATATTCACCAGTCTTTACCTGAATTATTTATCAGTATCTGAACAAAAAAATGAGATCTAATTAGCATTCAGTAAAGACAAAACTCACATTTATACAATATTGAGTTGTGCAAAATTTCTAGTAGAATAGAAACGTGTGTGGCTAAGCACATATTGATGCATGATGGACTCCATCCTCTCATTTACATTCAAGCCAGGCTCCCATTAAGTGGAGTGTGGAGTATTAGGAAACAGTAAGGGAGACTGAATTAATGATCTGTTCATTTCACTTGCAAACTATAAGCAATTATACCACATAGCTGATACTTAAGGAACAAATGAGGTTATATGAAACATTCTTTAAAAAATGTCTGCATATATAAAAATTGTGGGCACAAATATGCATACACACACTCACAATTCTTTTGACCTGAAAAATTCTTCAGGAAGGAATCCTGTGTCACTAGGAATTGCTTTAACACTGAAGCAAAGGAGACCCAAATCAGCTAAGGTCTGCAGGCAGTGCTAGAATATGAAGTCAGGCAATAACTCACAATCAAAACAGCTGCCTAAAATGCAATTGCAGCTTCTTTTTCTCTTCCTCTCTTAATTGTTTCCACATTTTAACCCTTCCCCCTAAATTCATAGCCCCAAGAGTCGCTCCCATTTAGAGACAGCATCATCCTAAGTGAGCTGTATCTGCATTTGACAAATAGTATACTGGTTGGGTCCTGCCCCAAAGCCAGATGGAGACTATTCAAAACACCACCATTTCATTTAAGAGCAAGGGGTGGGTTTGTTAAAAAGACTGTTTCAGAGAGTCAGTAAAAGCAGTGGCATAAACAAAGGGGGCAAAGATGAAAGGATGGTGACCTTGTGTGAAGATGTGAAAGAGAGCAGCCAGGGGCAAGAAATTTTAAATAAGCTCTTAACGCTTATTAAAGAAAAGGAAAATGGCATCCAAAAATTAGGTTTGCTGATTATTATTCTATTCACTCTACTTGTGAACGGTATCATTTTTCCTTTTGTCTGCACAATGAATTCAAGTTTAGAAGTCTTTAGAGCAGGGCTTCTTCCTCCTTATTTGCATTCTGACCTTTTCAGGTAAATATATAGTGCTGGGTCCAACTGTCCAAGACAGACCAAGCTGCTGCCTCTTTATGTCCCCAGGTCCAACCTGGAGGGAGACTGAAAATGCCTTCCCAGCAGACAGATGTACACACCACATCCATGGCCAGACACACAACTGCAAACACTCACACTAA